TGCTCTTTCCAAGAGATGTTGTTGTTATTGTTGTTTAGTTGTTTAGTCATGTCTGACTCTTCGTGACCCCATGGACCAGAGCACGCCAGGCACTCCTGTCTTCCACTGCCTCCCGCAGTTTGGTCAAACTCATGCTGGTAGCTTCGAGAACACTGTCCAACCATCTCGTCCTCTGTCATCCCCTTCTCCTTGTGCCCTCCATCTTTCCCAACATCAGGGTCTTTTCCAGGGAGTCTTCTCTTCTCATGAGGTGGCCAAAGTCTTGGAGCCTCAGCTTCAGGATCTGTCCTTCCAGTGAGCACTCAGGGCTGATTTCCTTCAGAATGGAGAGGTTTGATCTTCTTGTAGTCCATGGGACTCTCAAGAGTATACAGTGCAATACAATGACGTACAGCAGGGGTAGCCAATGCTTGGGACTCCCAACTCCCATCAGCCCCAGCTAGTATGACTGATGGTCAAGGCTGATGGGAAGTTGTAGTCACCACTTTGGCTTACAGGCTGAAATAAGATATAGTGTATTGTAAAGTCATCCTTGGATTAAGCTCACTGAAATCTATAAACTTGACTAGGTTAAGCCTACTGGCTCCAATGAGTTTACTCTGTAGGATATGATCAGTGGCTGCATGAATGCAAAAGGTACTGGAGAAACTTTCTGTTACTGTTGTATTGGTTGGCAGGATTGTTCTTTTCCATATTAGCTGGAATAGTACTCAGAAATGCTATTTTTGTCTCGCCACAGGTCAGTCACTTGCAGTCTTGGGAGCCCCAAGGGTGGAATCATAGAATTGTAGAGTTGGAAGGGACCCTGAGGATCATCTAGTTCAACCCCCCAAAATGCAGAAATATGCAGCTGTCCCATATGGGGATTGAACCTGCGACCTTGGCATTATCAGCACCATGCTATAACCAACTGAGCTCTCCAGGCTGAACTATAGTGGGACTGTAGGTTATTTCACATTTCAACAACACGTGTTTCCACATGTGAAGTGCCCTTTACAGCTTCTTTAAATCCCCGTAATTAGTTGCAAATCTAGGTGGTGGTTGGTTGATCCTTTAAGAAACACTGCTTTTCCCCAGGAAGCAGATTGAGCTAAAAAGCAATGCAAATAAAAACAAGCCTGAAGGAATCTGTAGAAAGCTGTGAAAGTTCCATGACCGCAATGGAGAACTCCTCACAGTTAAAACAAATTGGATAAAATGATAAACACCCCACAAAGTGGATGTTTCTCAAGATCAGTCTTCCTAATTAGTCAAGTTGGTTTCTTGTTGAATTCGGCTTTGAAACGACGAATTTAGAAAAGTAGAGGAAAACGTCCTATGAATAGTTAGGGAGCAGTGCCACTTAGTGGCCACGCAGGAAATTAACCCCAAGCAAAGTGGAGCAGAAAGGTTGCTTGTGAATAACAACTTACTTGTGCTAATTTAAATAGTATGCACTCTTGATAAAAAGAATGAAGGGAATTAGGTGCATTTTAACATTGGTTTCAGAACAGGCAGTCGTAATTTGCTGATTCTTCCCACCCCCACTTCTTTAGATTTGCTTTGCATAAGAAAAATACCCTGCAACACAACTCACTTTAATGTAGGAAAATTGTGTCAATCCACATTATGGCTTCATAATATATACGTGTACATCCTGCAAGTGCCATCCTAGGCAGGTTAACTCAGATATAGGTCTCTTTGAGTTTAACAGGGATTATTCCGAGGCAAGTGTATATAGGACTGCATACTTGTCTTATCGCCAGTAAGCTAATTCAGGCTTACATGGCTGCTGCATGGATTAGTTAGTGGGTATTTTTACTATGTGTGGTATTACAAGTAAATTCTACTCAGAGTAAACCTATTAAATGAATCAAATTTAGCCATGTTCATTCATCTCTGTGGTGCAGCTCTGAGGAAAACTTGGTTGAATACTATCTGATTTTTTTGTATTCATATGTATAGTTTAAATTAGTCTGCATTTAAATTTATTTTAAAAAGAGTCAAGTTGCAATATGCTGAAGTTGCATTCAAATCAATGGGGTTTGCTTTCAAGTGAAAAAGCAATAGGACTGAGCTGGACACTTGAGGAGAAAGATACCAGAACAGGCTTCAAATCACATACCACAGTTTCCCTTTAAAGATTTCACTTCCTTTTGCTTACAGTTCTGTAATCACAACTACTAATATTAATTACCGCTCTCTTCCTACCTACACATTGACCACTCTTTTATTTCTTTAGATTAGTTCTGGGGAACCTGCAGTGCTCCAGAACTCCCATCATCCCTGACCATTGCTGGCTAGGCATGATGGGAACTGAACCTCTGACAAGCCACAGGTTTCCCTCCCCTGGTGTAAGGAAGAGAGTTAATCAATGAACATCTAGGCAGAGAATGCCATTAGCATTTGTGACCACAGAACTTACTGTGGATTAAGTATTCTGTATTTAAAAGTTTAACATTGTGCATGCTGTGTCAAAAGAGGTTTGCTCCCTTTTGTGTTTAGAGATGCGGCTGATGTGGGCCCAAACACTACAATGTTTGTATTAGAAGAATGGCAAAGTTGTATGGCTTTTTAAACTAACCAATGCAGCATATGTCCACTGAGGGCACTATCAGCTATTGGATTTTTGCAGCTTGCCTTCTTTGTTTCGAGTTGGTACCCTTAACTTTCTCGAAATATAAGAATGTGCACCCATCATTCCTTCAGTCTCAAACTCCCAAAGAACACCATTACTGGCAAAATTACTGAGAGTTCCCTCTTGGAACAGTGGTAGAGACACACAACTCCACAGGTTTTCCAGGTAAGAAGTCCCCTGACTTCTGGTACCAGAGAAGAACTTGCTCATTGGGGTGAAGTACTGATTTCTTGGTTCTGTGCAGGTTGGTGTCTGGGAAATAAATGATCTGCCTCTTGCATTCTGGGCAAGTTGTCCAGGATTGTGTATCAAGAAAATGGCCATGGAGCCCATCACTGCATGTGACAATTGCGTTTGTGTATTCCACAGCAAGTATTCAAACTAGGAAGTTGCAAGTGGAGTTTCTTAGCCTTCTATTTACCATGTGTACATTTTTAAATCGGTAGCATAATGACGAGCTTTCCCTCTGCTCTTCTCACACCAGCACCATCCCAGTTTCCATGATGCTGCGGACATTCAGTAGGCATATATGACCAGTTTCCCCAGGTGCAACCACTGGCAAGGTTTGCATGTCACAAAAACTGACACCATGACTTAATGCATATGTGCATGTTCCTGGAAAGGAGCTCACAGCCACTTTGCTGCTTCCTGGTTATTTGCAGCACAGACCTAAACCATGGTTTGCGTGTCATTCAAACCCAGTTTGTGGTTTAGCTCTCCTGAATACACAACCACAAGACATAAAGCAGGTATGGGGAAACTCTGACCCACCAGATGTTGCTGAACTACAACTGTTATCACCCCTAATCACAGGCCACACTTGCTAGGGCTGATGGGAGTTGTAGTTCAACATTTAGAGGGCCAACTCCTGTTGTAAACCATGGGGCAAACCTCAGTTACAGTACATGGTTATTACACTCAAGCCAGGGTTTGGACAACAGCCTAAGCCATGTTGTGGCCTAGCACAAGACAGTGGCACAGCAGAATGACCAGGGAGGAGCAATCTAGATATAATAGCCACAAACCCTCCAAGTGTCCTATTTTATAGGGGCGTCCCTGATTTAGAGAAGCCGTCCCAGTTTCTGATTTCATCCTGGAATGTCCCACTTTTCCTTAGGATGTCCCTATGTTCATTGGAGAAATGTTGGAGAGCATGGAGTTACCTGACCTCCAAGCCATCTGAAGGCAATCTTGTATAGGGACCCGTCTGGCGTGGCTGGGGCAACCCAGTAAGATGTGTGGTATATAAATAGTAAAATTATTATGGAATGGGGCATCCCTATTTTCCTCAGAGAAGTGTTGGAGGGTATGTAGCCATGTTTGCACTAAGCCATGGTTCAGCTCCTGTAAAAAGTGGGTTCACATCAGGCTCAGTGAAGAGAGGAGCTACTTATACCCAACAGAAGATGGTCAGCTGGCAGAAAAGCGAAGAAGGAAATGGTGCATAATATATCAATGGGAGCCCAAAGCAAAAAGTATACCCAGGGAAATGTTAGGACTGGGTGAGATGGAATCCTATTTAGGACTAGCAAATTCATTCAGTGTGTCAATCTTTTAAGGGTTGGAATGGCGTGGGACTGGCTGGTGCTCTGAACTCCAGCCTGCAAACGCAGCAATGTTTCATTTCAGACTCCAAGGGGAAAGTTGGGCTGCAGGTTCTGTCTCTGAAAGTTGCTCCAGCTACATCATCCAGTTCTGATTTTCTGATGGGGCATCTCCTCTTCTAACTGCAGGAATGGCAGACACAGACATGTGGGACAATTGCTTCCCGGTCAGGCCTCTAAAATGAGCCTGTGGGAGAGCAAAGCCTCTTTAACTGGATCTCTGTCATGGTTCTTTGCCCCCACAGACCCCGTTAAGAGCATCTGCAAGTCCCTGGAATCTTGTACCACTAGTGGAGACTGGAGTGGAGTGTGACAATATCTAGCTGCAGGCATGCTTATTAAGAAATATTGCCAAATGTAAAGACTCTAGGCAAACCAATATCCTACCCTATCTGGCTTCAGAGAAAGTTGCCTATATGGTGTTGCATGAGCAAGAAGTATCCTAATGTTTTCCCTTCCATGGAATAAGAGAACAGAACTTTGCACCATGCCCTCTGCTGGTAAAAAGGGTGAAATTCATAAATATCTAGTAAAAGTGATTCAACTGAAAGGAAATGTATCTTCAGGCCAGTTAGCTATGATAATTAACCAGTTTTTGTTTCATTTTGAATCTATGTAGAGAACAGCCACGTACACAAATTTATATTTTAGGGATTATTATCCTACTCCAGTAGGAACATTTGGAATAGTAACACATAAACGCAAGATGTGTAAAATATTAGCAATATATATATATATATATATATATATATATATATATATATATTAATGCTATAATACTAAAATCTCCAGCTCATCCATAACTTAATGAAATGAAAACCTATTCTTGATTTTAGAGGTAACAGTAACTCTCAAAGAGGTTTAAAAAATGTATAAACCCCTTACCCAATACACTACAAGACAAATATCTCACATTGATGTTTTAAAACCGTGAATTAATGGTGGTGCATTTCAACCCAATACCAGATTAGCAAAGCGTAAGAGGGTCACAGCTCCTACCCACCTTCCCTGGTAACCCTCGACCAAAACCCAAGTTCAGTCTTGAAACCACACTTGTCTGAAAAAAAGGCAGTAGCTAAAATGATTAATAAGAGAACAGGAAAGAGAAGGGAAATAAAATGAAATCAAATTGTGCAGAATGAGATAGCCTCCCCATTTCATTCACAGGAAATTCATCCAGATTTTCTGGAAGAGTTTTGATTACACTCTTCCGTTATAAGCCAGGCATCCTTTCACAGTCTGGTCTATCAGACTCATCCTAAAACATTGGGCAGTTTGCAATGCTGTAGAATTTATCAAGGCCAACCTTTGTATGCATCCAGTTGTCAATGTAGCAAGAACATGTTCAATAACTTCTACACTGCTAAGATATCTGCTAGTTCTTAGGGTGGACAACATGGAGGTAAAGGGTTGAATCCAATAATAGCCATACGAAGAGTAGACCCATTGAAATTAAACATCTACTGACTTATTTGCAACACCAAGGTTTAAATCTTACACTCTTCAAATTCTTCTAGAGAGTAGTATGTCAATTACCTGATTGTACTAAAGGGGAGATTTCATTTTAATAGCACAGACAGGCCTGCAATTGTACTTCTAGCACACTTTGGGGATAAATGGATCAGAAGCAAAGTTTTCCAAAATTCCAGCAAGAGTAAAATAGATAGGGCTGAGCTATCAGAATAATCCCACTCCACAACTATCTATTTCTGTTAATGTTGGACGTCATGCAACCAAACCAATTGTCATGATGCAGGTTTGGAAGATATATGTTGCCATTTGGAGCACTGAAACCCCATCTCTGACCATTAGACATTTTAAACCAACCTTAAATGTTGAATTTTTCAGCAGGCATTGTCTCCACACTTTCAAGCATACATTTCACAAATGCTGAAGATTAGATGCTTTCTCTTTCAAATATAAAAACTGACGTTCGGAGCAATCCATATTCTGTTCTGATCTACTACATTCTGTGCACTTTTACAGAACACACGCTTTTCAAGATGAATTATTCTTTTTTAAAAATACAAAGTGGTATGTCTTCTGACACCTAAGTGATTCCAGAATGAGTGAAGAAATGATATGTTTTATGTTGTGAACTGCCCTGAGATCTGCGGGTGAAGGGCAGTATATAAATTTAATAAATAGTAATCATTATTTTTAAAAGAAATCTGAAATTGTGAATGTCGGAATATACAGGAAATGAATGAAATATTTGTCAATGCACATGTTGTACACATATTTTAATGGTTAATGAGCAATGATGAATGGACATAAACAAACATGGGACATTTCCTCTCTCCCCCCCCCCCCGACTTTCCTTTTGTAGCTGCTGCCATGTATACACTTCTAAATTGGTCAAAAGCTGAAAATAAAAGGACTGCTACTAAGCATTCAAAACGTACTGCTTACAATGGCTTCTCTGCAACTAAGCCAAATCTCACACCAAAAGGCAAGCAAGTTCCATCAGAGGAATCAAGGCATCCTGGGACCCCCCTCCTCAACCCCTCCTTGAAAGTGAATGGGCCCTTTTTAAAACCAGCTTCTTGAACAAGGGGAATCCAAGCTATGCGACTCCACGATCCAAGTCTTGGTGCGTGGATTTGCTTTAGAAAAAAAACAAAAAAACAGTCATGCCTCATGTTACGTCCACTTCATGTTATGTTCTTTCAGGTTATGTCTCGTGGCGACCCAGAAGTACCAGAAAGGGTTACTTCTGGGTTTCGCCGCTTGTGCAGGCGCAGATGAGCAAAATGGCATCACGCACATGCGCAGAAGCGGCGAATTGCAACCTGTGTGTGCGCAAATGCGCCTCTGCGGGTTGCATTCTTTTCACGTTGCGAATGGGCCTCTGGAACGGATCCCGTTCGCAAACAGAGGTACCACAGTATTCTATTTCTGCTATTCAGAGGAGGGGATGCAAAAGAGAGAGATAGGCAGAGCAGTAAAGACCACAGAAATTCTTGTTAAAACCACTTTGGAGTTCTGAGAATTCAACAGATATTTCAGTCTGCATTTTAGAGCTTCTCTTGTGATCATTAAGTCCAGAAACATGTTCAGGGTTTTTTTGTAAAACACACACACAAGCCAATATTCTCAGAGTCCTGAATTTTGCCTCAAAAATGCACATTCATTCATTCTTAACAGGGGCTCTCCCTTTTATGATTACCTCCTCACCTCTACTTTGGGTCCCCATCAGCACCACTCCCCCATCCATGCATTGGGAGAAAGATCTGACGATGGGAGCCCCATCAACATGCACAGGTTCCCTGTGTGACTCTGTACCCCAACCGCACAGGGTTCTAAACAGCATGAGAAGCCGGTTTGTGCAGAGCAGGATCCACTCCTCAGACCTTCTTCCCGATGCAGATTGGGTGGCCAGTTGATGGAGGGGCCACATCCAGCAACCAGAGCCTTGCTGCCCCCCCCCTCATCCAATTGCAAACATGTGGGAAGATTTAGTTATTTCCGCTTTTGCTTTAGATACTCTGTGCTTGTGGCCAAAATTTATAAATAAGCACCTCCAGATGTAGCATGCATGTACACTTCATTAGCGAGTCTCCCTAGCAAAAAAAAACACAACCATCTAGCTGCATGCACAGAACGGCAATACGTATATTCAACCAAGGAGACTATTCCTACACTGTTCTTTAGACTGGCAGTATTTGGTAGTAGTTTTTCTGCCACTCTATTCTGACATTTTACACCCATTCGGATTTTTTGGATCTGGAGCAGCCAGCACTGCTGCAGACAGATTGGACATCAGAAGCCTTTCTCTCAAGGGAAGAATAATGAACCGAGGGCTTGTGGCTACTTGCAGGCGAATGGGCTCCATAGCGGCACCCGTCCAGGGTTTTAAAAACCAACGCTCCTTTGAGAACGCCTGGCGGCTGCTCAAATCTCAATTGCTCACAGGAGATCTCTGGCTGCTCACTGTCATGGAAAGACACCCCTTTCCCCTCTTGGTGGGCAGATCCAACACACGATTTGTTGCTACTGTTGCTGCTGTTGAGGTTAGGGCCATTTTTTTGCTGAGGATTGAACACAGCTTGAAAGGAGCACACTTCCTTCACCTCTCGGCCAAGCAAGCAGTTGCTGCAGTTGTCAATGACGGCTGTGTTGCCTTGGCCCCCCAGCAAATCGTTGCTTAGCTTGTCCCCTTGGTGCAGCAGGCCAGGACTGCATTTCTCTCCGACCGCAAAACTTTCTGACAGCAGCTTCCTTCTCCGATTCCTCACAGCGTTGGTTCGGAAGGCAAAGCCCAGGTCAACAAGGCTGAGGAAGAATGAGAGGCTGCTGAGCCCCCAGATGAAAAGCATCATGATGGATTTTTCTGTGGGCCTGGAGATGTAGCAGTCCACGTAACTCGAACAAGGGGCTTGGTTGCAGGAGAAACGTCTTGGGACAAAGAATCCAAAGAGGTAATAGTGCCCCACTCCAAAACTGGCCTCTGTCAATATTCTCAGAAGAAGGTGAACTGCATACGCCCTGGAAAAATCAGGAACAGCCATTTCGTTTCCTGTGTGGGCGACTCTGCTCCTTTTCCCTTTGGACGATTTCTTTGCGACTTTGCCGCCCGTCGAAGGTTTGATCTCTTTGTAGAGACGGTAGGCTGCGGAATGTGCCTTCACAACCTGCCTGCACACTTTGTGCAATACGTAGACGCCAAAGATGGCGTAAGGGAGCAAGACAGACACGGTCTGAATGAGCCAGAAGCGGAAGTGGGACACGGGAGCAAAAATGTCGTAACACACATTGGAGCACCCTGGCTGTAAAGTGTTGCAGACAAAGCGTTCCTGCTCGTCTTGGTAGAGAGGGTAGGCTGCTAAGAATATCACCATAAACCTCAGCAGGATCACAAGAGTTAACCAAATCTTCCCTAGAAAGGAAGAACAAAGGGAGACATGTCATCGCTAAAGGAGTTGTGTCGTATTGTAGAATCCCTGCATATTTTTTACCCTGGTTGGCAACCACACACATACACACACACACACCAGCTTCACCAATTGGCTCACTCATACACCAGCCAACCAGCAGGCAAGAGGGTAAATTACGGTTGCCATATTTCAAAAAGTGAACACAAAAGTTGTTGAGGTGTTGTTGTTGTTTTTTGAGAATTTAAGTTTTGAGCTATTTTTAAGGAAATTCGCCAAAATCTAGACTTCTGACATGAGTTGCCAGACATCCGGATTTCCCTGGAGATTTAAGAGATTTCCGCCCGGTGTTTCTGACTGCCATATTCCAGCTATGTCTGGGAAATTCCAGATGTATGGTAACCCTACTCTAGAAATAATAATAATAATAATAATAATAATAATAATAATAATAATAATAATTTATTATTTATGCCCCGCCCATCTGGCTGGGCCTCCCCAGCCACTCTGGGCGGCTTCCATAAAAACCACAAATACAGTAAAATATCACCCGTTAAAAACTTCCCTGAACAGGGCTGCCTTAAGATGTCTTCTGAATGTCAGGTAGTTGTTTATCGCTTTGACATCTGCTGGAAGGGCGTTCCACAGGGCGGGCGCCACTACCGAGAAGGCCCTCTGCCTGGTTCCCTGTAGCTTTGCTTCTCGCAATGAGGGAACCGCCAGAAGGCCCTCGGCGCTGGACCTCAGCGTCCGGGCAGAATGATGGGGGTGGAGACGCTCCTTCAGGTAGATATTCCATGCATACAGCAACAGAGGGCTTTGGTTAAGAGTTCACCCCTGACACTCAGCTGACCACATCCATTTATCTCTGTTGTCATGTATATGGGAGCCAACAGCTGAGATGCACAGACCTGAGCCCCACGTTGGGCAAAAGATCCCTGCATTGCAGGGGTTGGACCTGATTATCCTCACGGACCCTCCCAACTCCATGATTCTATGATAAATTCTATGATGATAAATTCTGTGAAGGCTCTGTTGCTGTTCACATTGGGAACAGGGGGATGTGAAAGGGTTTTCACTCGCATCTTGACTCGCATGGCAGAAAGTGGCTGAGGTGCATAATGTAGAAATCCTTGAGAAACAAAATGGAGATCGGAGATTATCAGCCTTCCACAACCTAACCGACTGAAAACATTGTCAGACTACAACATGCTGTGTCCTCATTAGCCTGTGTTCCGTCCACCCCAGCACCCACTTTAATGTTCTTCTCAGAAGGTTTTTCAATACCTCAGCAAAACTTGGGGTTCTTTTGAGCCTTCTGCAGTTCCTCCAGCACCTCATGGATGGACCACTTTGGCTATCTGGGGTGCAGCACTCAGATAACAGAGTTTGCTATTATTAAAGACGATTTGAGGATTTCTCCTAAGGTGCACCTGGCAACATTTCTCAGGAGACGCTTCCCAATTTTGAAGCATAGGTGGTTGCTCTCCTCAGGTGAACATTTGAGAGAAGCTTTTCCCCCTTCCCCTTTTTTAAAATAAAGCATAGGAACAGAAGCAGCTGCCTTATGCTGAATGAGAGCATTGGTTCATCTAGCTCAGTATGGTTCACACTGACTGGCAGAAGCTCTCTGGGGTTCTTTCTTAGCCCCGAGATGCTGGGGATTGAACCTGGGACATTCTGCATGTAAAGCAGACACCCTACCATTGAGCTATGGCCTTTTGCCCAAAGACTTGGAAGTTCTGCACAGACAGAAATCGGAGGGTCAACAAGCCCAACTTTTCATCACAAGAGAAGAGAAATGGAGACGGAGGAAATGCAAAGCTTTTGGTATGCACTCTTAGTACTGTTCTTGCTTGCTTGTTTGTTACCTTGAGGGTGGAGCCCCATTTGCTGGCAGAGAAAACAAACCAGGGGAAAGATATATCATAAATACATAATTTTAAAAATATAAAAATTCGGCACATAGGTTTGGGAACACAAGGCATCTCAGCTCTAAAGGTAAAGGTAAAGGGACCCCTGACCATTAGGTCCAGTCGTGGCCGACTCTGGGGTTGTGGCGCTCATCTCGCTTTATTGGCCGAGGGAGCCGGCGAACAGCTTCCGGGTCATGTGCCCAGCATGACTAAGCCGCTTCTGGCGAAAGCAGAGCAGCGCACGGAAACGCCGTTTACCTTCCCGCCAGAGTGGTACCTATTGATCTACTTGCACTTTGATGTGCTTTCGAACTGCTAGGTTGGCAGGAGCAGGGACCGAGCAACGGGAGCTCACTCCGTCATGGGGATTCGAACCGCCGACCTTCTGATCAGCAAGTCCCAGGCTCTGTGGTTTAACCCACAGCGCCACCCATGTCCCTACATCTCAGCTCTAGAGAGAGCCAATTCTAGAATGCCTTGAACCCATTAAGAGCTTAGCAATGACCTTCGTTAATTTATTTACTCCAAATTGCTGTAGGCAATGTGAGTATAAACACCCACAGAAATCACTCTCACCAAGAGGACTGACAGAATCAAGTTTTTCGATCAGTGCAAAGTTAAGGGGGAAACCAGATGTACACATGCTAGCTATTGGCCTCAAAAATCAAACAGAGGACTCAGTGAGAACTTGGTTCAGCAATTGCCCATCAAATTACTTCAAGCCTCCTTATTTTCATCTGGGACCTGCACTGTTGAAACGATTGCTTAATAAAAGTGTAACTAGGCTATCATGCAAGGCGCAATAAGTTCATGCTCTTGCATCTGCATTTGTTTTCATGTGCTATTTTTCTAGGAAAAGAGGTGTTCTCCTATAATGGCACCTGAGAGGTGCCGGAACTGAGTTCCAGTGAGTTCCGGCTGGAAAAAAAGCCCCAAAACAACTAATGAGAAAGACCAAAAATGGCCCTAAATTTAAATAAAGGATAGACGTCAAACAGCAAGATCAAGCAAATTTTTCATTTACAAGCAAATGTTATTAAAATGCAAACGAGTGAATTCTAGAAACAACCAAAAATACACACGCACAGAACAAAAACCAGGACACAGTTTCCAGGAACTGGGTGCCAACCCTGAACAAAAATTAAGATGTGGGTTTTTGTTTTTTTAATACTCACCAATAATCGTCACATTGTAGCTGACAGCAATGATTAAAAAGCCGACTGAATCCCAACATTCCATGTCTGAACTCACTTGCAGGGATCCCCCACTTACTGAAGGAATACGAAAAAATTGAGCATTTTCAAAAACCACGGCGATCTAAACAGAGAGGGCAAAAAACATTCGAGAGCTGGCCAGGAACAGGAGTAACAAAATCCTCTGCAGAGAGAAATGAGCCTTCCTTAGGAGACCCAGCTAAATACCACAACTTCACAGTCCTATTGATTGCTCTTACCTCTGCCCCGACAACTGCAAGAAGACAAAAGGCAACAGGAATTATCTCTGCCATTGTCGGCTATTCTTACTCTCCCGGGGCATTCCAGCCTCCTGAAATTGCTGGGATAGTTCAGTGGTGAAAGAGAAATCAAGCAGTGGAAGAAATAATAGAAGCGGCTTTGTTTCTCCCCCGACAAGTGATAAAAATGGATAACGTGAGGAAAGAGGATACTGAAACATCAAGTGTTATGTCTGCGAATGGCATTTTCCTCTACAGCAGCGCCATATGAAATGAGAAATAAAATCCAGCTTCCAAAAGATGGTCACACGGTAGTGTCACCAACGGAAATCAGTGGTCTCTCTGCACATTCCTATTTCACTCTCCTCAGTAAATGAACAGGAAATTTATTCCTGTGGGACAACAAAGCCCTGAACTTGGGGACATGAAACCTGCCTTGCTCCCTCAGCGTTGGGCGGCCTGGTCTTTAAAACCATGAACGCTGAGAGGTGGCGGCAAAAGTGTGTCTGTGTGGAATGCCTTCCGCAGGTGCTCAAAATATACAGTATCTCCTTCCTCAAACATTCTGCCCCTCAAAGAAAATTAATGGAAGAGGTATATGAAATCAAACATGGAGAAATAATAAAACTTGGTGGGTCAACCAAATAAAACTGAATTTCAGAAGGTTCAGGTCAGACAAAAGGAAATATTTATTCACTCACACTGCCCAGTTACAACTATGGCTGTGGTGGACACCAGATTGGAAGGCGATTTTAGCAGGGGATTACTTACATTTATGGATAAGGCTTGTCAATGCCCACTAGTCATGGTGGCTTATATATTACCTCAAGTATTAGGGGCAGTGTGGCAGTCCCTGCGAAACACAAATGGAAGAGAGATATTGCACTCACATCCTGCTTTTCGAATTTCCATAGATAACCGATTGGCAGAGTTGGCCCTACCATTAGGCAAAGTGAGGCAATCGCCTCTGGCGGCAGATGGCGGTGGCAGGGTCAGCACTCCCCAACTGTTAGCACCATCTGAACTGTGTCTCCTCAGAAGTATGCCCTACTGAATTCAATTGAACATACGCCCAGATATGTGGGGCTAGGATTGCAGCCTCCATCATACTTAAAAAAGCAGATCCAATAAAACGAATTATTTCAATGGGATCTAATCTACGTAGGACTAAGTCTAGATACAACATATTTCAATGGTTTTACATCTGTATTATTTACCATGTTCTAGCTGAGGGAGTTTAATTTTAACCTATTTTTATTTACATGTCCTCTGTTGCTGTATATGTCCATATCTCTGGTCTGTGACCGTAATAAATTGATTCAGCTCTGGGATTGGTTTAGGTGAAAGGCAGTTCAGAATTTGAAAGTAAAAAAGGAATATTACAAAATTGATAACGAAGCCTATGTAAGGTGCTGTTCTTAACCCATCTTGCATATTATATTTCCTTACGGCAGGCAAGGAGGATCTCCAGCCCATAGACCTAATCCAGATAACCATGCCTCTTACTCCAGTCCCTGGAACTCCCATGGCCCATTTCCTGCAAACCACACCACTTTTCCCTCACCTCATCCCCATCCTGTGCCAGCAAGACAGCCATACGGGAAGAAAACAGTTTTTAAGGCGGTTCACTTTCTATCCTGTCTATCTGCCAGCTCACCGCATTTCTGTGCTGGCCTCGGAGGAAGAGACTTTCCTTCCTTTGTAGTCAGGGCTGATATCAAGTGAGCTGGCACAGAAGGAACGATCAGTCCTTCTTCCACCATCCCACTCCCTTGTCTGAATGGAACTGCTGACCTAGGCTATGAGACTGTAGCACCTCAGTTTAGTTTTATGGCATTTCTCCATGCAGTAACTAGAGGAGGGTACCCAAGCACATTGCTGCTTTGCAGCATTCACCAAGCGTTTATTATTTTGGTGATGCGGGGGGGGGGGGGGTAGGTGCATTACAGGGCCCTGTAGGTGCATTATTAAAGTTGCTTTAAAATATATATATATAAGTCACCATTGCAGAGTTAAAATACGAATCCTTTACACATTCTTGGGTTTCTCCAGTGACCGTGTTAAAAGACAAAGCTCAAATCTGTTTATTCAGTTACTGAATGAAGATACTGTTTTGTGTGTGCTTCACCCCCTCCAGCCATTTGAGAAAGAGAGATGGTGGCAAGATGGGCCGCTGTATTTTGGCAAGAAAAAGTGATATCCACAAACAGAGGCTGCATTTCAACTAGGGCACAGAGACCAAAGCGACGATAATGAACTGATGCTATGAAACAGGTTTACTTACCTATAATTTTGCCTGTTCCCTTTTAGTAGTCATACACACAGGGCTGCGAGTGTGTGGATCATGGCAAAGAAAACAACCAACGCTTCGAGAGGCATTATTTGTCCTTCCCCTGTTGCAGAAAGTAACAAACACCTTTCCCCGTAATTCTTTTTTGACGGTCTTAGGAGACTGCGTAGAGACCACATTAAGGACGTGAAAACACAGAGATCGGGGGCCACCCTACTCTTCATGTTGCTTATCTTCCAGCCGTGCCAAAAGGAAACTCTGGGAATGCAGGATTTAAAACTGTGTTCAAAATCTATCTACTCTTTCAGGTTGAAGGGAAGGGGAACAAAAGGTGAGATAGGCAGGGTTCCTCACCCCCCCCGGCCCCCAATTTCTAGACCAAGGGTGACAACTCCAGTGGACACATGGGAAGAGTGGGAGAGGATTCTGTAGTCGCAAGTGCTGGAGAAGGCCTGTTCTCCACAGTGATTTCCACTATTCTGCATCATTTATTCTGGGTTTGGTATTCATGGGCAGGAGCCAAAAGTCCCCCCTCCAACCACTGGACATTTTATTCAGCCTCCTCTCTTGCTGCTGAGATTTCAGCAGGCTTTCCCTATACCAGGGGTCAGCAAACTTTTTAAGCAGGGGGCCAGTCCACTGTCCCTCAGACCTTGTAGGGGGCCGAACTATATTTTGAGGAAAAAATGAATAAATTCCTATGCCCCCAAAATAATCCAGCATATAAAATAAAAAGAAACATTCTACTCATGTAAAAGCACACAGATTCCCAGACTGTCTGTGGGAAGGCGATTGGGCCGGATCCAGCACCTGGGCCTTAGTTTGCCTACCCATGCCCTATACCTTTGCAAGTATTTTTTCATATCTATAAAAGGGAAATACCACACTACAACATGCTAAGCTTCCACCAAGACCAACACCAGCTCTGCCAAGACCACGTGCTCAACAATGGTGCCACTTTGGGGCAGAAGACCAGAGTCCCAATCAGGAGAATGGACAGGGGGCGCCAAATGTACCAGAACTGGCTGAACTCATTTTGAAGGAAGCAAGGTAATGCACTTTACTATCTAAAGAGCTCTGTCCTCCCAGTAAAACCAGCAAGTGCAGAGTCTACAATTATCTAAATGCACTGCCGTTTGCCAATGCTTCTTTGCAAAGCAATGTCCTCCAGCTTATAGCTGGAGCAGTGTGATGCTTAGAATATTGGACTAGGATCTGGGAGACTAGGGTTCAAATCGCCACTCAACCTTGGTTCAGTCAGTGTCCTTCAGTCTAGCCTACCTCATTGGACTGTCATGGGGATAAAAAAGACAGAGGAAGAAGTGAGCTTCTTGGAAGAATGGTGGGATGTAAATAGAATAATAAACAGATCAAATTTATGAGTGCATAATGGGGTTTGCTTTTTGCAATAGGGGTACACCTTTGTAATCACAGCAATGAATCAGCTTGAAAACAGAGGGCAATATTAACAAGCCAGAATTTTTCAGCAGTTTTTAGCAACCTTTGATGCTAACAGATCTCCTAGGAACAGTAAACTTTATGGAATCATCCAGAGAAGAACCCTAAAAAATAATAATGCTGAAGCACTGCAAAAATGTAAAATTAACAAAAGTAAAAATAAAACCCACATTTAACAGATTTTGTTTTGTTTTTTAATTTTTAGTGCAAGAAACATAACCAAGTTAAATCACAGAATCAGTACTAATTGAAGAATATGGAAAATTCTCCTATACAGAGGTAGAATCCAGTGCACAAGGCTAAAACGATATCCAATATAGTCTAAACAAGACTGAGCCAGGTTTTACGGAATCCACTTGAAATTTTACAATAAATAGACTATACAATCTTTAAAGTTGTTTAATAAATTTCACAAAATTATAGTAGATGCATTGAGAACTTTACATAATGCAAACCTTGCTCTCTTTCTGATCTTCCCTTACACCAGCCTTCCCCAACCTGCTGCCCTCAAGATGTTTTAGACTACAACTCCCGCTGGTCCAAACCAGTTGTAGTCCAATGCATTTGGGGGGACTTGGTTGGGGAAGGCTGTCCTATACCCATTGCAAACTGTGCTTGCTAGAAAGTCAGCCCCAAAATGTTCTGCAGACTGTTGATAAAACAACTCCAGGTACAATCACATTTCTATTGAGAGAGGCACCGTAACCCAATTCTAACAAAAGCTGGCCTTTTTCACTCTCGCTCTTCTCTTCTCTTTAAAGAATTTTTAAATTTGAAACATTCTAGTCAAGGAAAAGGCAAAAGGGGCACCCTCAAAACTTGATAGAATCAAAGTTTCGCTATATTGGCACAGTAATAAAAATAGCAACAACAACAATAACAAAGTAATGAGAATTAAACTGATTGGGGAACATAGATGGGCAAAACCTTCAGGTCATGTAATACATGTTAGTAGAAAACTCTACTTAAGTTATTAGCAATTTAACCTCATCAGTGTGTGTTACCCTTTTAAGGCAGATAGCATAACCAAGGACACAGTTGTCTGATAAAAACCTTTAATGCTCTGGAGTCATAAGCATATTTAGGGAACGCAGAGGGAGCATCATTCTGCGTTCCTGATTCGGCACTGTGGAACCAAGCTAATAGCATGGTAAGTGTCTTAGGGAAGGGAAGGGGACCTGGGGCTCTTCTAATATTGTACTACAACTCCCATAATCCCTTACCGTGCTGGTTGAGGCTGGTGGGAGATGCGAGTCCACCATCTGGAGGACCACAGATTCCCCATTCCTGTCCTAAGAAAACCAAGGTCTCCTGCCTACCCAGGACTGGGGAGCTGGCTGTGTAAGTGATAAGAGCCTCGACTGTAGGCCTGCTGGGAAGCAGCATGTCTAAGCCACCCTAACGTGCACTCCTTAGTCAAGATCCCCAAACGGAAACATGAATTCACACGAGAGAAGTAAGCGCTTTCTGTTTCTTATGTAGCAGCTCACACCAGTAGGGAGCAGTTGTTCGGTTGCCTCTTTAGTAACAGGAGCTGTCGCAGAAGAAATCGAGAAAAAACTTGCAGGTGTGCAGACATACCTCCTCTTTGGCATCCTGCAGGGATTGGAAGCAAAGACCTCCCCAAAATCAGAGCCGCATGGATGTGCTCTTGTCACATGAAACAGCTGGGTCAGAAATGTCAAGTGAACAATTCCTAATTGGGGTTTTAAGGCTCAATGAGACCAGATAAAGAAATGTGTAAGGGCATGTCTCCTGCAAGAGATGACACTGAAGCTAATGGTATTAGCTCAGGAAGATAGCTTGTCCTGCACAACCTCCAAGGGGAGCGGGGTGCAAGTGCACATCTGGAACAGGAGTTTCTGCAGAAGACGCTCTGGTGGAATGTGGTGTGTACGGTTTCGCTCGAGTAGTGCATGTAGAGCAAGTGCCATACATCGAAGACGAGGTCTCGTCTATTTCGCTGTGGCTTGCACAGGAGAATTTGTGGAGCTTCAAGATCATGGAACTTACTGCACAACTGATTTTGGTTTTTGCTTGTCTTATGCATCGTAAAATGGCATCCTTCTCAAAATGTGCAAAATAATTCATAGATGCTTATATAGAGCACAAGGCTTTTTCCCCTTTCCTTTTTTTTCAGAGATAACGTGATTTGCTTTATATAAAAAAGGTATTCAACTCGTTTATCCCATTAAGGAAAAGAAGGGTGGGAACCAGTAGTAACAACAACAGAAGTACAATATAATCAACAAAGCAACAAAATTTTCTTCACAGTTTGCATTTTGTTTAAATTTCTAGAAGCACCTACACTGGAAAATGCATTTTAACGGTTTTTATTCTGAAATCTAACCTGTGACAAAACACTTGGTAAAATTAATATAGATTTCTTCTTCTTCTCTTCCTCCTCCCTCTTCTTCCATGGACCCTTTTCCACTAGAACGAAAACTCTTTTTTTCATATATATTTTTCTATTTTATACAAACAGATTGGTTTCCATTTAAAGTAAACATATAAAAAACTTGAGGCTATTGCTTGCAACATTGAACCAGGAAGTGAAGGAAATCATCTGTCTCTGCCATACAAAAGAAGATTCTCTCTTTCTCTCTCCCACTTTCTCTCTCACTTAATCTCTGCTAAATCTCTAAATGCAGTGAAAAAACTTGCAAACAAAAAAAGGACTACTGCACCCAATGCAAATTTCACCTCCTTGGCCCAAGTTCCACTCTCACCTGGATCCTTCCAACAACCATAACTTTATAGTAAGGAAAAATAAAACTATCCCAAAGAACATAGGAAGGCACATGCAGCCACATATACTATGAAGCAGCCAGCATCCGAGATGCAACCTGTGGGAACACACCACGGACACGGTCGCTATAAATTAAAAAAAGAAAGAATTCCAAACAATCACCTGATCTTTTTTTTTTTGTATACTTTTGGTTCAGCACTAGAAATCAAGTCAAATTTTGTTTTTTCAAAAAATACAATAAAGGCATACGAGAAACAAAATATGCATAATAATTAACGGGGAGAAAAGGCTAATAAAACAGCTTATGAAGGGAAGCCTAGTGGATGGAGTAGCATGGAGCCGATGGGAGAGAAGAAAACAACCGATGGCGTCAGGTTCAGAGGCTTGTGCTACAGTAGATACTGCCTTCTTCATACTTGCTGCTTTGCAGAAGCAGGAAAAGCGACTCCCAGACAAACAGCAAGGGAGGAAGGAAAAAAGATATAAAACCCAGAAAGCCAATGGAAAACACTGAAGAGAAAGTGAAATACTTTCAAAATCCTCTCTCATAGTGCTTCTTCCAAGCCGATCTTGTGGTGTGTTTTTAAAATTCCCATGTCGTTGTCTCTGCTGAAGATCTTTTTCTTTTTAATAACACACACACTTGCTTTTCTGTTCTTCCAAGCATATGTATGTAGTTTGCCTATTCCTCACATAAAAAAGGACAAATCTGCAGCAAAACAACAGAACCAGCTTTCTTCCGAAGTTCTTCCCGATGTACTGACGTCTCTCTCCTGTCCGTATATTTATTCTTGTGTGCTACGCAACGGGGGAGGCACTGTAAAGGCAGATCTAAAAACAAGAATAAGGAGAAGGGGGGGAAAGAACGGGGGGGGGGGGAAATAACAACCCCCTCCCTCCCAAAGTTGATGATAGAAACAGTATTTCTGAGGACTTTCCAAGACTTCAAACATTAGGAGATAATCGCAGGTGACCACCTAACTACAGTCAGATTGTCCGAACTGACTGACCGTTTCTTTGCTGATTTCCTGAAGTCCTTATACTTGTCTTCAGACAAGCGGGAGATGGCCTGTAGGGAGATGGGCAAGGGAGAAAGGTCAGACACGTGAAATAGCCTAGTACTGACTGCTCTGACTGGCAGCAGCTCTCTAAGGCTTCAGGAAGAGGAAAGTCTTTCCCATCCTCTGCGTTCTACCTGACCCTTTTAACTAGAAATACCAGGGGCTAGACCTGGGCTTTGCTTTCCCCAAAAAACTGGAGATGCCATGGCTTTACTTTGGGACCTTCTGCTTGCAAGCCCATGCTCTACCAACTAAGCTATGACCCCTGCATCTTTCTTTGTAATCCAAGCCTGGCGAAGTTGAGACCCTAGCAAGCCAAAAACAGCCTGTCTTCCATGCAGCCCACCCAGGTGCTCATTAACCCCCTTCCTGTTCCATTACTCCAATTTTGTAGCCCACCCAGACAGCAATGGCAATGATATCTCTCTCTCTCTCTCTCTCTCTCTGGTTTGAAATTCTGCCTTCCCCATCTCTCTCCTGTGACATCCCAATTTTGCTCTTTCATTTATCTTGCTAGTGTACAGTATGACACTGTTGTAAATTGATTGCTCTGTTTATTGTGTGTACACACACACACACACACACACACACACACACACACACACTTTTTAAAGCCTACACTCAAGTTTTTCTAGTGGGCTTACATCTTGTTTGAAATTTTTCAGAGAGTGCAAAATAAAAGGTCAGCTTGCCACATCCACAAGGTGTTTGCGATGGGAGGAGATCCAAGGTTCTCACCTCAAGTTTATATGCCCTGTCCCTGCTGAGCGGCTCCAATGGAAAGCTCAGGTTGTTTGCTTCTGCCAGGGATCGCAAATCAAAATAATACTTGGCATAAACACTGGAGGGAACATTAATGTTGAACTGCAACAACTCAAGAAACTGGCGTTCCAACTCATTCCTGCAAAATAAATAGCAAGACACGTTTTAAACTCTTGACCCGAAGGACAATAATTTACTTTGTCTTATAACAGGCTGACGCCAGAGAAAGAAAACGTATTTTAAGCTTGTCACAGACATCTCATGGGAACCTGAGCTATCTTCAGCCCAGGCAGTTTGGGGACAGTTCCTCCTCCCCACCCACCCAAATGTTCAGGTTCAACAAAAGGTTGTCATACGTAAGCTTTTATCTCATGTTTGTTAATGGACTATCAAGCATTCATTTCCATTGCATGCTTGTGGCTCACTTCCCAGCAATGGCCAAGTATGAAATTTAACAGCAGATGCTCAGTCGTCAATACAAAAAAAAAATTGTATTAGATCAGTCATGTGCTTCAGTTGCTTGTGATTTACTTGGTCAAACAAGTTCCAGCACATTTTGACTTGTATAAGGAATTTTGGACTGTAACAGGACTACACAATATAATCTGTAGGGGAGTCAAATTCTCTTTGTTTTATGAACTTTTAAATGGGGCTTTTTGTATACTGTTGAATTTCATTCCAAAGCAGCATCTGTTCCTCAAGCTAACACACATAAATATAAACAAGCTCAGATCGACTTTCCCCATTTTTGATGTACCTGTGTAGGAAACTCCAATGCTTCGCAATGGAAGAAGAGGTATAACCAGAACACCCTGAGGCAAAGGGAGTGTAAGCCAAGGAACCATCCTACTTTGATGAAGCCTGAAAGCCGCTCCTTCACTTGCCTCCTCTGCTCTCTTCCTCTTTCATGCATTTGACTAAAGCTTCCCATCCTCCTTACTCTGTAAAACTAACCCGTGTCTTCTTCAAAGTTGCAAAGATTTTAGAATTCTGCTTGATTTCTGTTTAGGTACACCAAGGTACATCAAGCGTGAGCAATTGCACCCACATAAGCAGACCATAAAGGAAACCACTCTGCAGTGTGTTGGACTGCCATCATTCAAGCCTGCAGCGAAGCATAACTAGAATAAGACTATCAATGGCTACCAGACAGCATGGCTATCATCTACCGTCCAAGGTAGCATGCTTCCAAACACCAGTTCCTATGCAGCAACGGGAGCTCACCCCGTCGCGGGGATTTGAACCGCCGCGACGGGGTGAGTTCCCATTGCTCGGGCCCTGCTCCTGCCAACCTAGCAGCTCGAAAGCACATCAAAGTGCAAGTAGATAAATAGGTACCACTCCAGCAGGAAGGTAAACGGCATTTCCGTGCGCTGCTCTGGTTTGCCAGAAGCGGCTTAGTCATGCTGGCCACATGACCCAGAAGCTGTACGCCGGCTCCCTTGGCCAATAAAGCGAGATGAGCGCCGCAACCCCAGAGCGCTGCAACCCCAACGACTGGACCTAATGGTCAGGGGTCCCTTTACCTTTACCTTTATGGAGTGGTAGTTCTATTAGCCATTGTGAGAATGCCAATAGTTAAGACAGAAGACCCATCTAACCAGGTTGAATCCAAGTTAAATTAGTTGAACTTACTTCTCTTTGAAAAATCAGTGGGACTTAAGTTATGGCTAACCTCCCATTGATTTAAATGACACCTAATCTCAACTAATTTAGTCTAGCTCCAACCTTGTTTATTTATCTGTTGTGCTTATTTCTCTACCAAATAGCTCCAAAAGTGGTGTGCAATGCAGGATGGATCATCATAATAAATTTAAACAACAACATTATTATTATTTTAAAAAAGGAAAAATAATGGTCAGTTCTATTGTACATCATGGGGACAACAGAAAGAACAGTGAACTCACATGTCCTCAACGGTGATATCTTTCAGAATCTGACAGTAGTCCACATTCCACACGGCCTGGTCATCCCAAACTTTTGATGCCAGTAGAATTGCACCCAGCACAATTCGCTTCCAGTTTGCTGGACATATATCTATCTCCGCATAAGTTAAAAGTCTTTCAAGATATACCTGAAAAGACACAGAATTTTCATTCGTTCATTCATGGCACTTTGCGAATAACAGGTGTGACGCATCTCTACCCCAAGGGGGCTTACAATCTAAAAACAGACAAAAGGAAAACAACAAAAGATGGGGGGGGAGAGATGGGGGTAGGCAGGGTTTTTTTTATTTAAAATAAGCACAATGTGTTTCATTTAAACATACTGTGGCTTAATAATAATGAGGAAGATAATGATGTCAAAGTTGGCCCAAGTTATTGGTAGAGAGAAGGACTGGCCAAATCCAGTTCCTCACCTCTGGATTATGCACTAGAGATTCATAAGTATATATCTATTGCCACTGGAATTTTCCCTCTCCCACCAGCTGCACATATAGTACCTTGAAACACAATCCTATGAAATTAATTCCCTCCATTCTCCTTGTGATTACTTGCTCCATATGGCCCCAAATACCAGATTGCTGGTACTCTGTCAGCATCACTTTACTGCCACATAATTGTTCCCTGGAGACTTGTCATGCAAACTACGTTTCAAAAGCTTCCTATACTTTCCTGATACAACATTCATGGGTCCATATTCAAGAAAAACCACAGCAATTTAGCCTCCCTTTACTGCTGGTATTTTCAGACTCCTGCAGAGAGACAGCTTTCATCAGTACTGGTATGGCAATACAGCTTCAGGAGTCATAGGTAAAAATCAAGGTAACTTCGAGCATTGCATTTTCAAATCCAAGCCATGTAAGTAAGTGGGGAAATAGTATTCTGAGGTATTTAGCCACACGAGAGTTTAGCATAGACAGGACTGTTTGGAGGACAACCATGAATTAAACAGGACAATGTAGAACAGATAAGTGACAATCAGCAAAAGGCGCTTAACACAGGTTAGGTTCCTACACAGAAACCCAACACAGGTATCAGATGCAAAGTTAGGCTGGGACCCTGACTTGCCCTCACCATGGTTAAAACTGCTGGCAATGGTTAACTTCCCAGAAGGGGAAATTTGTATTCTGGAAGAGAGATAAGCCCAAAGGGAGCACATGATCTCTTCAGCTGCTTGCAGATGTAACCATGATTAAAACAATCATCAGTGTTATTTATTTAGGAGACCACTGCAAGCAGATGAAAACATTAGCAGGATTCTAATCGCACTTGTAACAAATGCGATGGATAAAATAGACAGATATAAAATATAGATTATGATATAATATGCAGTTGGAAACGCTGACATTAGGACCCACAGAGGGGATGGGGGGGAAGTCGCGAAATTAAGAGAAATCTCTGTACAGTGGTACCTCTGGATGCAAACGGGATCCGTTCCGGAGCCCCGTTCGCATCCTGAAGCGAACGTAACACGCGACTGCGAATCTGCGCATGCGCGGGTCGCATTTTGCCGCTTCCACGCATGCACGTGACGTCATTTTGAGCGTCTGCGCATGCGCGAGTGGCGAAACCCGGAAGTAACGTGCGCCCATCAGATGTCAAAGTGATAAATAACTACCTGACATTCAGAAGGCATCTGAAGGCAGCCCTGTTCAGGGAAGTTTTTTATATGTGACATTTTAGTGTATTTTTCATCTTTGTTGGAAGCCGCCCAGAGTGGCTGGGGAAACCCAGCCAGATGGGCGGGGTACAAATAAATAATAATAATAATAATAATAATAATTATTATTATTATTATTATTATTATTATTATTATTATCATTATCATTATTATCATTATTATCATTATTATCATTATTATTACTAACCCGAAAATATTCATCCCGAAGCTACTTCAACCCGAGGTATGACTGTATATGGAAATGTAATTGGTTTTGCTATAAATCTATACTTGAAAAATCAAATAAAAATGATTTCTATATATATATAAAATAAAACAATCATCAGTGTCAAATCTGCCTTGGCCTCTACAACTGGCAACATCAGATGCACTCAATTAAAACATTATATCCTATATCAGAGGAAGCAATATTTCTACCGGTTCTAGTGCAAAGCAAGTAATTCCAGGTGTTCCTGCAGTATACATCATCCTCCACTTCAGAAATATGTGTGTTATTATTTACACACCCATTTCACACCCATCTTTGTGTTATCTAATAGTAAATGCGCCTTGGCCAAGGTTGCTAGAATGCTAGGTGTATACACCTAATGACTGTTTCCATTGATGTGTGTGTGTGTGTTTGCTGTTCGATGCTTAGGAAAGAGGTTTCAAGAAATAGAGCTTCTTCTCCAAGCAAGCAATAGTCAATGTCTCCAGGGAGCGGTTTTTGCAGGCTTCAGGGCCTGAATCCTATCCACTAAACTCAACCAATGTTATCAGGGGAAATGCAGTATGTACGTCAGCAAATTGCACTCCAAAAGCAGTATTCACGAGCCTGTTCTTCATGCTTCATTGCAGACTGCCCTAGTGAGCATTCCACTATCAAATATCCTCATATAAAAACACCTTATTTAAAGATGTCCTACATCTTAGTCAGCTGTGGTTTGTAGCTATTAAACATCTGAGGCAACAAAAATGGGCTTCTCATTGGCATCAGGTTGGCCACAGTGAAAATAGAATGTTGGGCCAGATGGGCCTTTGGTCCGATCCTGCACGGCTCCTCTTAGGGTTTTATGGCAGGCGGAGTGAGAAGTCACTTCTATGTTTTCCCCCAGAGTTAACTTTCCACTTATTCTATGCTCAACATTGCATGTTGAGTGAATGGTGTTGCTGGTATTCTAATACATGGCTGTTGCCACTCGCTTATATTACTGCTCCTGGCTCATTGTAACTGAGTCACAGGATACACCAAGATACTATTTTAACAGGATTACCTGTTCACTCAGAAGCAAGGCCCAACTCTGTTCAAAAAACCTAACTCCCAGGTATAGTAAATGCACATAGAATTTCATATATCTCAAGCCTTTCACCCACCTGTTATATATGGGTTTGTTTGTTTGTTACCGAAGATATATACAGTGGTGCCTCGCAAGACGAAATTAATTCGTTCCGCAAGTCTCTTCGTCTTGCGAGTTTTTCGTCTTGCGATGCACGGTTTCCCATAGGAATGCATTGAAAATCAATTAATGCGTTCCTAGGGAAACCAACTTCAGACCAGGTCCGGGGACAGTCTGTCCCCCGACCTCTTCTGAAGGCTGGGGGGGGACGACAAGGGCTTTTCTTCCCACCCCCAGCATTTTAAAAAACCCCGGGACAGCGGAGGACTTCTCCACTGTCCGGGGCGATCTTAAAATGCTGGCGGGCGGCATTTTAAAATCGCCCCGGGACAGCGGAGGACTTCTCCGCTGTCCGGGGCGATTTAAAAGCCCCTGGGAAGGCAGGCAGGGGGGACAAAGACTTTTGCCCCCCACCAGCCTTCAGAAGAGGTCCAGGACCTCTTCTGAAGGCGGGCGGGGGGCGAAAGTCTTTGCTCCCCCCCCCCGCCTTCAAAAGCTGTCCTGGACAGGCTTCGCGGACCTCTCCGCAAGCAGCGGGAGCGCTCCCGCTGCTTGCGGAGAGTTGCCAGCATGCCGAAGCCTGCGCGCGCTGAGATCAGCGCGCCCAGGCTTCGCGGCCCCGCCGCCCGGCTTCGGAGCATCGTTCCGAAGCCGGGCGGCGGGGGGAGGTGTTCCCTCCCCGCCTCCCGGCTTCGGAGCATCGTTCCGAAGCCGGGCGGCGGGAGGAGGTGTTCCCTCCCCGCCGCCCGGCTTCGGAGCATCGTTCTGAAGCCGGGCGGCGGGAGGAGGTGTTCCCGCCCCGCCGCCCGGCTTCGGAGCATCGTTCCGAAGCCGGGCGGTGGGAGGAGGTTTCCCTCCCCGCCTCCCGGCTTCGGAGCATCGTTCCGAAGCCGGGCGGCGGGAGGAGGTGTTCCCGCCCCGCCGCCCGGCTTCGGAGGAGGTCCGAGGACAGTGGGGAAGACGCGCTGCGCTTCCCCGCTGTCCCGGAGATTTCCCTATGGGCTGTCGTCTTGCGAAGCAAGCCCATAGGGAAATTCGTTTTGCGAAGCGCCTCCAAAACGGAAAACCCTTTCGTCTAGCGGGTTTTCCGTCTTGCGAGGCGTTCGTCTTGCGGGGCACCACTGTATATATATTGCTGTACACCACCCTGATATTTTGTGAGATGATGGTATAGAAATATTCTTATAAACAGATAAAAGTAGTTCAAAAAGTAAAAACAAAAAACCTAGCTATTTATGACTGCGTTTTAGTTTAAAAAAAACCCCAAAAGCATTTCAGTCAGCGATTTGAAAAAATAAAATTCATAACATTCAATTAATGTTCATTAAGGCTTTTAATGCATGTGGGATCATAATTTAATTGTCTTTCCCTCCCATTTTAATTTCATCACCTATTAAAACACAAAATCTCTTGGCAGCTTTGGAAGCAGTGAGAAAAATTACATAGTTTGTGCTTAATTACGACTCGCCTTTTCTTGTAGAGTTAAAACAGGTTTTAATTGAAAGAACTTAATTAAAGGCACGGAGGGCTGGCAATTTGCCCCTCACTTAGTTTTTCCCTGCTGGAGACCTGTCCTTCCAGTGCAAAGGAAGAACTCACCAAGCTGAGAGGCTACAGCAAATCCCACTGAATCTGACAAAAGGCTGGGCAGAGGAAGTCCTGAGCAGCAGCCAGCCCTGCTGTGCACTACCTTGAGCTCCTGGGAGGAAGGGTGGGGTAAAACCGTGCTTACATTTTTATAATTAAAACAAGCTATCACCAGATTCTACCTACAGGGCAAATCTGGAGATTTCTCCTCAGATGAAACATCTGAAGAAAACAAAAAATATTTCAGCGCGATTAGTGAAATGTCTCAAGAGGGGTTGACACATCTCTTTTGTCCGCATGCCAACACAGAAATATGCAGCTGCAGATTCAGGTCATCCTTTGGTCTATTGCAGAGAGATCAAGCAAGGAAGTTTGCTCACAACTAAAAATATTATGTGCAAGAAAGCAAATGTGTGGAGTAAATTCAACTGCATTGTTAAGGTCTAAGTTCCCTGGACAAAACTGGTTGATAAGTCTCAAAGTAGGA